TTCTCCAGGCCAGCTTCGCCAAGGTCCTACTCAAGCACTTTTGGTCGATGCTCAATTGCTTTCACAAAGCCATTATTCCTTGTCGGCGGGAGCAAGGCTCCACAAAAGGTAGGCTTGAATTTGGCCACTTTCCGCACGCTTCTCTGCTACTCCATGGTAGTTCACAAGCCGAGTTCAGCCCGTGGTGTTGACAAATCGCAGGCTCGTCAAACAATAAATTAGCAAACACTGCCGCACGCGCCCTTTGACAACTTTGTCGTATATACGACCCCAGCATATGTTATGGGCAAGAACGGGATTTCTCTCTCTAACCAGCAAACTGCCATAACGCAAGACCGGGTTCGCGAGCGCAAGAACCAGCTTCTTCTTCTAGTGGCTTATCAATACACTCTATTAGGGACCGTGTGCAAATGTCCGCCCGAACGTATCGACTCGCCTGGCCATTGAGAAGCAGTTCCCGGATACACAAAGGCCCCTCTTTTTGCCCCCGATTGCGTTATTCGCCATCAAACTGTGAGCCGATTTCGACATATATTTCCCCTTCACGGCTCACCTCTTCCACTTCAACGTCACAGTCCTTCCAACTGCACCGACAAAGAAGACTCCCCTCAATGTACTTCTTCAGTCGACTTTTCTCATCATCCGCTCCAGCAGACAACATGGCTGCCACACAGAAAGCCCAACAGCTTATTGACGACAACGCCGTTGTCGTCTTCAGCAAGTCGTACTGCCCTTACTGCCGTAGCACGAAGCGCACACTCGACGGCCTTGGTGCTAAGTACTTTGCTATCGAACTCGACCAGGAGGGTAGGCTGATTCTTCCCCCTTCCCGCACATAGTTTATAAAAGGACATTTACTAACGGAGCGGATTGCATAGAGGATGGCAGCGAGATTCAGGATGCACTCCAGAGACTCTCCGGCCAACGCACCGTGCCGAACATCTACATCGGCAAAAGGCATATTGGCGGTAATTCAGATCTGGAGGCGCACAAGAACAAGGATCTGAAGAAGCTGTTGAAAGATGCCGGCGCGCTTGCTTAGATATATGGTCGTTTCTTTTGGTTTGCTGCAGGATCGGAGGATGCAAGGGTCTTACACGGCTTCTGCCGCATGCGGCTCCCAAAATCTCACTTGCACCCACCTTTTGATGAAATAGATTTGACGACTACTTTACCGCAGGATCTGCCTTAATAGCTAATATTGCAAATAAGAAGCTGCTGCGATTGCAATTCGTTTCTACCTTAATTGTTACGTACCCGGTTTTTAAAGATCTCTTTGCGACTTGAACTCCAGTGTTTCCAGGATACTGGTGAGAGTCCTTACCAAAACAAGATTGTTACTGCAGATATTGTTTGTATAATAGTCGCGAGGCCAATTCTATAGGTTGGAGCTTGATACCGAAAGAAGTGTAGGAGATATATACGAGACAGATAATATATGACAGATAATTTTACAAAGAAAGGCGCCTCTATATAACTTGTGCAGCCACGGTCCCGATCGGCCGCTCAACAAACTCGATCATGCCGTTCGCGATGCTTTGGCGCGCCGCCTCGCTGGCCACATTCGCTCCACCCAGATAGTTCAACCAAAGTGCCCGTGACAACCGCTCATCGCCAACGGTGCCTAGAAGCTGCCGACCCATGGACCTGCCATCATCGAAGATGACACTGAGCTTTCCATCGGAACCGCGCACTAGCATCAGCTCCCGTCCCTTTTTCGCCTTGCCGCGGTTGAAAATTTGGCGGAACTCTCGCATGGATTCGCCAAAGTCTGGGGCGGTATCATTACTCGCTCCCTCCTCCTGCTTCTCCTTGTCTAGGATACGGGGAGCCTGGCTCTTGATGGCCCGCTGAAACCCGTCCCGCAAGTGAGGGAAATCGGTGTCCCGTACAGGGACAATGCGGAACAGTGACCGCGTGGGAACACCCTCCTCGAGTATGACGTCCCACAAGGTCTGGCTGTCGGTAGGATCCAGTAGCGAAGCGCGCAACTCGTTTTTTTCACCGGATACCAGCGCCGTGGCAATAGGGTTGACCCGTTTGATCAGGCGGTTCTGCAGCGCCGCAATGTCGGCGGTGGCCACGTAGAAACCGACGACGTACACTTCAAATTTCAAGAATGTGACGGTGCGAGTGCCGAGCCCAACAAGTGTATATTCTGTGCAAGGTCCGTCGCTGTCGTCTACTTGTGGTACGACAACCACCGCGTCGGGAGGAGGCGACTGTGGTTTCTCGCCAATAAGCTTCAATGGGAGTTCAACGGTCCGAGGAAACTCGGTCACGATGCTGTTGCCTGTGGGCACAATCTCACGGCCATCTTTGTTGTGAACAACAACCTTACGCGCTGCAAGCTCGCTTTGTGGTGTGCCGGTAGCATCCAGTTTCTTCGGGTTCTTTTCCAGCACCTTCTTCACTTGCCAGCCCGTGTAGCCCATGGCGATGAGCCCGGCTACCGACCCAGTTGCCAGGAAAATTAGCCGCGTTCGGTCGTAGTCATGGCGCTTACGAGCCAGATTTGGGACGTTGAGTGTATCATAGGTCGAACCACGGACGCCACTGTCGCGCGAGCGGAGGAACGTCCGGCGCTGGAGGGTTTGCAACAGCTTGGGGCCGTTGTGAGCCATAGCACATCTGCGACCTGGTATATTGAGCAATGGGCTTGAGTCCACCGCTCGCACTACAATTCTTTGCAGCATGATGTATCGGTGCACGGCGTCGTGGTGGTTCTCTCGGATCCTGTGGTGAAGCTCGGATTCAGTCGATGGTAAACGATTGCTGGGAAGTAATAGATGCGAAAGTGGTCTGACAAAAAATCACAGGCAAAGCCAGACGCTAAATGGCGTATTACAGGCAGAGCTGAAGAAGCTAGTTCAGAAGCCTGGGGTTTGTTCGTCAAAACGTCATAACAGGCACTACGCGCGCCGGTTGTGTCGGCTTTAGCCTAGTATGCAGGTAATGAAGGGCGTGTGCGTATTCACGGTTGTGATCGTCCGGGGAACCTTCACTGGATAACGATCTTTGCACAACTGTTCTTATCAATTACCTTTTTTATTAACATTCGTCTTGTTATTCCATCTTCCTATTACACCTGTTTATAGTCGCATGTATCCAAGTGTATTTTTTTTTGACCGTACGTCGTACAGTGCCAACAGCCTCCTGCACATCACAACAGATTTGTGGACGGGTGTCAAACTAATTACAATCACTATTGTGCAACGTTAAAGTCATCTACGCCCATCGAAGTGGGGAGGATTCCTGATTCCTGATCCTTTTATAACACTTATTGTTAACAGTAGGAGTTGGATCGTAGTTCCACAGGATGTAAAACCTACTACCTCTTTTTGTCATTATTGAAAGCGTTGCTCGCCTTTACCAAACCTGTCTCCAGGTGATTCTCTGTAGAATTTGGTGGACACAAGATTACGACTACAGAGAGACGCAATTTTTGTTCCTTACAACAGCAACGTTGATGTACTTTTAAAAGATGTATTCAACGAGCCTGTTTCGCTTAGATGTGCATCCATGGAAGACGAAGTTTTGTCCGGAATGTTGGAGACGATGGGACGGCTATAGACGAGTCTTTTCATCGCTATCACCAATCAACGGAAAATGCAGGACAACGTACGGAATAAGGTGTCGTTCAACACCTAAGAATCTAATCTCATATCACTTTTCAGAAATAGAAACGAACGGTTGAAATGCGAGGAAATCAAAAGGTGGTGTGGCGAAGTGCGGCTAAGCGCCGAACGGCACCTTGCCTTGATGAGACAAGGTGCTCGTGACGAATGAGAGACGGAAACTGATTCTTATTTGACTGCAGCTAAGCGGGCTATTCCTTCCTCGGTCATTTTTTTTTTTTTGGCGAAAGTGACAACAAATTTCAGAGGACCGTTTCTTTAAGAATCCCCCTTTACGTCTCAGGCCGCGACGCCACCTTACCTTACTGCCTTGCCTATTACTTGGCTGTCTTGCGAAATAGGTTGCGGGTGGTGCGAGACACGTCAACGAGCGTTGATGTTTCTATTTGGCGCATCTTATTAATCGTACGTCGTGCAGCTTGATTTGTTCCAGCAGTCTGTTCTCTGCCCCATTTCGCTGCCCGGCTTTTGATTATACACGCATAAAATTTATTCTTCTTCTTCTGTAATAAATAAATAAGGACATAGCAGCCACAGTAAAACTTGCAGTTTCGATTTTCATGATTTGGTCTCGAAATTTACCGAGTTGCTGACATTGTATCGCGCCTTTCGCATTCTCAGCTTTTCATAAGGAATGTTGACTGCTGGATCGTTGCTCGGACAAAAACCAATGAGGTTTGTGGGTCAACTGGGCAGGGAATGGACAGGCTCACAGGACAAGGCTGAAGTAGCCCCACCTATCTGGCCCCTTTCGTCTTCTTCCTGTGTCCAAACCATTCTGAGCACACAATAGGTCGGATACAGGGGCCTAGCAGGCCGAACTCAACTGGAGTAAACAGGCCTATCCGTCAGCTTACCGTGAAAATAGCGGCAATGGACCTGTGACCTTCTGTTCTCGACCCACTGCAACGGGCGCTTCAGCGCCGCACCTGCCCCAAGCGAAATCGAAACAAGTCGCCGCATGGTGACGAAGGCAAGAAATGCCCCCCCAAGGGCGACTCTGATCCATTACGAAGTATTTCCGTTTGCCTGTCCGGCTTCTTTCCTTATTTTTAATCATCTAGCATCATTTCTCAGCCCAACCAAATCCGCCATACGTCTTGTTGCTCATTTGCGCTGTTCTTCCATCATATCGCCTTCACATCCTGACGTACATCGACAATTTCTCGTCTTATTCATCGTTTTCTTGTATGCCTAGCCTTGTTTTCCCTTCAACCGCATCACGGCCTTCTACGAAAGCAACGCCTCTTGCCATCTGAGTTCTCGCCCAGATTTTCTACAACCTGCATCCTGCCCCTCCATTTCTCTACGACAGCGGCACTCTTCCATCGTTACGACACCCTTCCTTTCTTCAAGTTGAACCATTGCACGACCTCGCACTTGTCCTCGTTGAAGCCATTGCCGATTTTGTCGCCCAAGAGGGCTTGGCACGGGGAGGTGACTGCAATAAGTACGAGACTCGCTTTCTGTTTCGCAGCGACCACAAATAAACCTTCTAGTCCCGTTACCTTTGGGCCCAACCTACCTATCTAGCGACAGTCCCGAGAAAGGCGTTTTGAACCCGGCGCGCAGATTTCCCAACCGGTCCCTTAAAAACCAGTTCGCTAACTCACGAACTTACTTTTATTACCTGACCATGGCTTCACCGTCGCTTGACGGCGGTCATCCGAGCGGTAGAGCTTCCCGGCGGCAACAAGCTCCGTCGCTCGATGTCACGGCCGCCCAGTCCTCATCCCAGACTGCTCTTATGACGGAAGAATCGGAGTCAGGAACGGTGCAAGAATCTCGCTCGTCGTCATCGACAAACTCTCCCGCTCCAAACGACAACGAGGAGTCGGACTTTTTTCTCGCCCCCAACGATTCAGAGTCATCTCTTGGTGTCTCCAACCTTCAGGATATGCACGTAGTCGACGATGGCGACGAAAACGTGTGCATCTCCCCCGTCAACCGGTTGCCAAACGAAATTCTGATTTCCATTTTTGCAAAACTGGGGTCCTCTGCAGACCTGCTGCACTGCATGCTTACCTGCAAGCGGTGGGCTCGAAACTCGGTCGACCTTCTTTGGCATCGGCCAGCTTGCACCAACTGGGGACGTCATAAGTCGATCTGCCAAACCCTCGGGCTGCCCAACCAGTACTTTCACTACAAGGACTTCATCAAGCGCCTAAACCTAGCGTCCATCGCTGATAAAGTCAGCGACGGGAGCGTCTTGCCTCTTGCTGTTTGCAACCGCATTGAACGCTTGACGCTGACAAACTGCAAGAGCTTGACCGACATTGGCCTTATTCCGCTTATACAGGATAGCCATCATCTTCTCGCCTTGGATATTTCTGGAGACGACCAGATAACCGAAGCCACCATGTTTGCCATCGCAGAACATTGCAGGAGACTGCAAGGTCTTAATGTTTCGAGTTGTACGAAGATCTCTAACGAAGGCTTGATTAAGCTTGCAGAGAGTTGCAAATATATTAAGCGGGTAAGTCTTATCATGCTGGACGATTTGTTTGCCAGCTATGCCGCTCCTGACTGACCTCCTATTTAGATCAAGCTTAACGACTGTTCCCAGCTGACGGACGATGCGGTTCGTGCCTTTGCGGCGCACTGTCCCAACATCCTCGAGATTGATCTCCACCAATGCAGGCTTATTACGAACGACCCTGTCACAGAGCTCCTGGCACAAGGCCAAACCCTGCGTGAATTACGCTTGGCCAACTGTGAGCTCATAAGTGACAGTGCCTTTCTGAACCTGCCTCCTGAGCGGGTTTATGAACACCTCCGAATTCTCGATCTGACATCTTGCATTCGACTGACGGATCAGGCTGTGGACCGGATCATCACGGTGGCTCCGCGTTTGCGCAATCTTGTCCTCGCAAAGTGCCGCAATATCAGTGATAGTGCCGTCAACTCGATTGCAAGATTGGGAAAAAATTTGCATTATGTTCACCTGGGACACTGCAGTCAAATCACCGACGTGGCTGTGAAGAAGCTAGTGCAGTGCTGCAACCGTATCCGGTACATCGACCTCGGCTGCTGCGTACATCTGACGGACGATTCCGTAACTCGCCTTGCTACCCTGCCCAAACTGAAACGTATCGGTTTAGTGAAGTGCAGCAACATCACAGACGAGAGCGTCAATGCGTTAGCAAGGGCGAACCAACGGCATCGGCAACGGCGTGACATGGACGGGAACGTCATCGATAACCAGTACTACAGTCACAGCAGTTTGGAGCGCGTTCACCTGAGCTACTGTACCTCACTCACTATTCGGGTAAGGTGAACCCGCATACATTCCTAAGCACCCCCAAGGCCTCATTTCAGTTATTGACAGTTCGCTATTGTTGTTAGGGCATCATCAAGCTCCTCAATTCGTGTCATCGTCTCACTCACCTCAGTTTGACGGGCGTTCCAGCTTTTCTTCGAGAGGATCTTGGCCGTTTCTGTCGAAGCCCACCTCCAGGTATGGCAACCATTTGTGGTTTTTATTTAATGTATCGGATAAATTGTGTATGATGCTGACGTCTGCCAAGAATTCACGCTTCACCAACGCGAAGTGTTTTGTGTTTTTTCTGGCGAAGGTGTTTCTGAATTACGGGAACATTTGAATAACCAACCTGGTTATGCTGCATTCCGCGACCGCCCACAAGTCGTCTCGGCGATACCGACCCACCTCAGGACGAATGTCGATTACCTAGCTCCTGCGTCGAATGCTGCGAATGGCCATTTACTGAATTTTGACGAGACGGAGGCAGACGCCCCTACTGATGACGACGGTATGGATGAAGGAAGTGAAATGGTCGTCGATGTACCACCACCACCAGGAGGGATTGGGCCGGTTGCTGGAACTGGCACAAATAATGCCAGCACTGTGCCTATCCCCCCACCAACAACTGTTCCATATGTCGTATCTGCCGGGAACCCGTTACCATATATGCCTAGGGGATATGTGCAACTAGTCAGGTTTCCAGAAGATACGCAGGCAGCTTTACCGCAAACCCAGCCACCTAATGCGCATTTCCCCGGAGCGATTGATTCTGCGGAACTGGGACTTATTCTGGCTTCGGATGTTACGGTTAGTGACAGGTATGAAGCCGGCCCATCTCAGTACCCAATGTCGGTTTCATCATCAGCCGCCAGTGTCGCTCCCGTGAGAGTACCGTTATTTCAGGGAAACGCTCTTGCAGGACCAAGCACAGTATCTGGCCAAAATAACACCTACGCATGGCAATTACCTGCCGCGGTAACCGTCCATGCTGCCACCGGCCCAACTGGCGCAAGCACAGCACCCGTGATGCGACCCAGCTCGTCGCAAGACAACGGGCCCGAACCGCCAACCGGTGGAAGTAACGAAGGTGGTGCATGATGTCATGGCAATTTTCATATGGACATTGAGGACACGAATACTCTTGGTCCCTTTGAGCTATGATCATCACCCTTAGAACGAGATTTATGAAATAAATGGAGGATTGTGGTTTTTCTTTTATTAATATGAGCTTTGATACTTTTATATACATACCCTTGCTGTAGCCTGCTTGAACACGCATATTTCCAATTTGCACCAATGTGACGGATCTAATTTTTCGTGTTTAGCTGCTTAGGTTGGACTTAACGTTGGTCAGGAATACGGCCTCTAATAATGCTATCATGATAGACCACACTGAGTGAAAAAGAAGGGAGTAAAGGGGAAAAGGCTTTTGATTCGTCGTTTTACTTCATGTGGTGTTTCTCAAGGTATTGAATGTGTGTGCATGAGATCCAACGGTTTTACTGGACGATGCAGGCATATAGCTTCTTTATATAGAGAAGAAATGCGAATTAAATTGTATCTAATAAAGTCTCTTGTAGTATAGTGGTCAGTATACGGGCTTGTCACGCCCGGGACCCGGGTTCAATTCCCGGCGAGAGAGTTTCTTTTTGTCAGCTAGAAATTTCCAGTTCATTTTCTTCGCTACTATTTTTGTTCCTTAAAAACTATGAAACGTTGTGATATGTGGGAATGGTGCTTACTGGCAGCATTATTTCTTTTGCGTTTAGAATCATATTTTGTGAATCCTGTAAAGTTATTGTTCGGTTCGTTCCTGTTGTGAAGGCTTAGTTATCACTGCACATACAAATACATTGCACGTGATATTAGCAGTGTCCACCAGAACCACTTTTTCCTTGCCCTACGACGAAAGTGGATCCCACGAAAGTTCGCAAGGACAAAAAAACCATTACTATCGCGAAAAGTTTCCAGGTACCTAATTCTTATTTCTTGCACAACCAACATTCTCGTCATCACTTTGCCGCAGTACCCCAGTGTCTCGAGTCGTGACGATACATCTGTGTCAACTCTGTCAACAACTGTTTCTTTTTCTTTTAAAGAAACCTTACCATCAACCCAAACCGACAACATGTCTTACCAGAAGGGCGAGAAGGACTTTGGCGAGCAGCCCAAGGCTCACCGCATCCGAATCACTCTGACAAGCCGCAAGGTCCAGTCTCTGGAGCGCGTTTGCACCGAGCTCATCGAGCGTGCCCGCTCCAAGGACCTTCCTGTCAAGGGCCCCGTCCGCCTGCCGGTACGTCAAACGTTACCACTCGAAATATGCTTGATAACGTGTGCTTTTGTTGTGTACTGAACTGTTGCTAACGACCTCTCTTTCTCCTCCCACAGACCAAGAACCTGAAGATCACCACCCGCAAGACCCCTTGCGGTGAGGGTTCGAAGACCTGGGATATGTACGAGCTTCGCATCCACAAACGCCTCATCGACCTGCACGCACCCACAGAGGTTGTCAAGTCTGTCATTGTCAATAGTACGTCTCTTTTGGATCAATACACCACACAATAGTTGATGCCGAGCAACAGTACTAACGCATTTTTCTTTTCAGTCGAGGCTGGCGTCGAGGTCGAGGTCACTATTGCTGCTTAAGTTGTGTCGTTGACTAAGCCCGTTACGGCTCGACCCTCGAGTATATCGTCTTTATTGCCTATGTGGTTCGCCATCTGTTCTGTCTAAGAAAAGCATTGCTTTTTTGCTTTCGGATAATTAGAAAGGTTCTGGGATATGCGATTGAAATTAGTGGAAAGGGGCGTTTTATCTTTTCCCTACGTCTGCTCCAACGCTTGACCATGGAGTGAAAAGGAGGCATATAACCAGGAGACAATTAAGAAGATGGGTTGCGCACAGGCTGATTATTTGTAGAAGAGCTTATCATTTTCTACATGAAGCACCAAGGGTATTAGCTTGCTCCAGGTTTTAAAATAAAAAAAATAATAAGACGAAACTTTTCTGTGTATGCCTTTACGGTGAACGTGTATCGTAACTGTTTGTAACCCGTGTAGGTTTTTGCCGAGCATCTATATATCGTGTGGAAACAGCTTGGAAGAAAACTGTTCATTGTTTTTCCCTTGACCGTTTCCGTCCTTGTCCGTCTGCTTGGTCCTGGCGCCTCTTCGGTGCTACTAGAGTTCCTTTGCGGCCCATTGTGTTTCGATTGTCCGCAGTGTCTTAACAAGGCCTGGCCCGAGGCTTTCGAGTGCAGAACGCTCTGCAATTGTCATCTGACGTAGGACATAGTCGACCACCGCATCCCTGTCTCGCTCTTCCGGGCGGCCGATGCCCACTGATAATCGGGCCCATTGTGCTCCGTTAACCTCGCTTGGTCGGAGTCTTGTGGCAATGCTCTTCAGGCCATTATGCCCACGCGGACTGCGCGTCCAGGGTCGTACCGAGAGATCGCCGAGCTCCATCTCCAAGTCGTCGTGTATGAGAACAAGACCTAGTTTATCAGCCGGTCGAGTCGACTCTGTGTCGTCCTGGGCCTTTAAAGCGCCTTTCCATACTTTTGCAACCCACGGACCAGAAACGTTCATGAGTGTTGGGCTTTGCATCAGCGTATATTGAGTACCTTTGCCTGCACCTGACGTTGTTACTGGTGCATACTTGCCAGTGTACAGCCGGTTCGGCGCAAACGGTGGTAACATCAATTCACGGCGCAATGCCTCGAGCGCGACATGGCCGGCGGAGTGCAAGGTGTTGAGATATACTCCTGGGTTGCCAATACTGAGAACAAGAACATGGGATATACCGGCCATTGGAGGCAATGGTGTTCTGGACCAGTGATCTTGGGCACGTAGAGTATGTCCGCAGAGTGTCTAACGTTTGTATTGCATTTGGTTAGTTTCTCGTGGGGATATTTTGTAGGAAGCTCAATTTGCGGTTAGCGGAGATGAATAGCTTAGTCATCTCCACAGCCTGCCTATTCCTGCGGTCGCCAAGATAGGTCAGCGGTCGCTGACGTAGGGCCTGTCTGGCAGACTCCCCGGCCCCTCTCGAACGCACGGCCACTCGTACGCCCTGGCTTGGTGGTCCCACAGGCATATTTGGGCTGAGTTGCCCGCCTCGCCAGCTTTTCCCTGGCTGCCTTTCCAACTTTCGCATCCGACGACAACTCGGCGACATTAGACTTGCCCAGTTTCATTTCTACGGCTGATTGTCCTCGCATATCTGTTATCCGTATCCAAGGTCGACTTTCCGACGCGATTTGCCTGCGTACCCGCGGACTCGATTGCTCTGGGACACCATCCTCAGCATCCTCGCTCAGTATCTAGCTTGGATCATATTTGGACATTTCCATTTCGAGACAGCTTGACATTCTGCAAACGAACGAACCCCGTCCGGCTTTTTTTGAACGAATATATTATATTCGTCGTGTGGAAGTTGCCTATCATGTCGTGGGCTGGTATGTCGCCGTTGACGCCCGATTTTTGATCGCGGACTCTGTACCTGTTGGAGGTCGCTAACCCACCGCAGGTTTCAAGAAAAATGTCAACCGCGCTACGACGCAGGTGATGATGAAGACAGGTCATGTTGAGAAAACGAGCGATCGTGATTACGAAGTGGAGGAAAGGTAAGCCGCCGCAGCACACTTTTTCCCGAGTATCCCGAACGACAAGAACGACGTGGTACTGATGTATGACGAACAGACGATTCCATACAATGGAAGCGGCGGCGACACGGTTACAAAAAGAGGCCAAAGGATACTTAGACTCATTAAGAGGTAAGTTGGTTCTGCCTACTCAGGCTACTGAGCAGGAGGCGATTCTGACGCCGAGATCATAGCTATGACAGCATCGCAGATGCGGATTGCCGAGACAATCGACGCCTTTTACGGTGATGCCGGAGCCAAAGATGGTGTGAGTCGAAACTACAAGCAGGCGGTGGAGGATCTGGACTCAGAAACTATCAAGGCTTTGGATGGCCCGTACAGGTAGGTGTGATACTCTGGCTGAAAGCAAATGTCCCTCAGCACGACTGTACTGAGCAGTACTGACCATTCGTAAATAGAGCTACGGTGTTTGACCCCATCTCGAGATTCTGTAACTACTTCCCCGACGTCAATGAATGTAAGTGCCTACGTGTGCCTGCACTGTCTGCGAGGCTGGAGATCTGAGTTTTTTCCCCTGGCGCCATTCTACATCTTTTGAATTGTACTCGATGTCTGACATTCGACTTTCCCCCCTTTTCTCATTTAGGTATGAAGAAACGCAGTCATAAGCTGCTCGATTACGATGCCCTCCGTGCAAAGGTCAAGAAGCTTGTCGACAAGCCCGACAAAGACTTGACCAAACTCCCGCGTGCTGAAAAGGAGCTCGACATGGCGAAGCAAGCATACGAGCAACTCAACGAGCAACTTTCCACAGAACTACCGCAACTGATCGACCTGCGTGTGCCATACCTGGATCCCAGCTTTGAGGCACTTGTCAAAATCCAGCTTCGGTTTTGTGCCGAAGCATACAGTCGGATGGCACAGGTGCAGCAGTATCTAGATGCTGACACACGCGATCAGTATGCCAATGGTGAGCTTGATACACGGGTGGAGCAGGTGCTACAGGAAATCCGGGAGTTGAGCATCAGCGGAACGGTATAGAAGAAGAACTGAACTACGGGAGACGTGACGACACTCTATATTTGGGGCGGCGGCCAGGGACTGGATGGACAGGGGCCTGTCTATACGTAATGCACCTTTTGGCGTATGGGTGTTACGTCTTCCTTCAGAGTTTTGCATTTCATGGATGGTGGTCGGATGGCTTAGGTGACAACATCTTGCAGGGTATCGTTGGATTTTGTTGCGTTTCCTACACTTCCTTTAAACAGAATTTTACAATATTTCTTTAAAACATATTCTACTTCAAATGTTTTCTTGGTAATATAGCAGGTGCTGTGTCTCTTGTGCTCATTCTAACAACTTCTTTACCGCTGCTTAGATCGAGAGAAGGTTCCCAGCGAACCTTATTTGAATATGGCTACACTTCCAAATTACCTTTCCTTAGACCACTGCAATTCGTTAGCTTCCACGGTATCTAGATGCTCGCCGCGAGTCTTCTCGGTAATGACCCCGTCAATTTGCGCTTTCCCTGCAGCTGTGGCGTCGGTCCAGATGACTACGACGGTCTCGCCTAACATCGAGTTGATTTTTTCCAGGAGAGTCGGGCAGTCTGACAGGAAAAGTTAGTGGACGGATAGAGAAGATTGGGACGTAAAGCCATATGATGCTTACATCGACGGCAAAACGTACGACACTTTGCTTTTGTTTTGTCGTAGACCACGAACACAAGGTAGAACTTCCAACTGCGACGGTGTTAGCAGCAGGAAGAGATGTTGGAGGAACGGAAAGCGTACGTACCCAATATCGGCCATGGCGGCGGTGGCTGGTGTTAAGAGGGAAATGGGGCCGATGTACTAAACAAAGCCACCCAGAGCCATTCCCTTGGCACGGTCGGGTACACCACGGCACAGTATACAAAAGCAGTGCTGTCGATACAGACACCGTAGCCAGAGACGAAGAGGAACAAGAAGAGAACGGCAGCGGCGTTGCCACTCCTCTAATCGCTGCTGGCGTACTTAGCCACAAGCGCGGTCTCAATGGTGGTGGAAAGTAAGCCGATCCTTAGCAGCGGGCGGCGGCCAACGCGGTCCATAATGAAGACGGCTATAACGTTGACGGATGCACCAACCACTATATAAACTGCGTACATCAGCAGTGTCATGCTGCCAGACATGCCGAAGTTCTGGTATATGAGCACGGAGTAGATGCGGTGGCGCAGAGACGGCTTATTAAACATGTGCCACACGGAGAGGTCGGTCGAACACAACCTGCGAGCGCATTTGGAAGAGCTCTTCCCTGGCCTGGGTCTGATTTGGGTCTCGCGGATCGTGGTGCAGGCGCTCGGTGATGACCTAGGCTTGTCAGCACGGCCCTTTCAGAGAACCATTCGACGATTTTAGAATGCACATAATTTTAGATTATCGTAGCGGCGCATAGAAGACAATTTACGCGAACGCGGTGACTCGGGGAACGAAGGTGAACCGATGATTAGAATCAGAGGGAACAGGCAAGATAGGGCAAGAGGGAAGTGCCAGGCAAAGGTGGCAATCGTGGCAAAATAAGTCTCGTAACCGAGCTTGTGTATTGTTTGTTAGGAAAA